TCTCTCTCTCTCTCTCTCTCTCTCTCTCTCTCTCTCTCTCTCTCTCTGTGTGTGTGTGTGTGTGTGTGTGTGTGTAGGGGACTGGAGTCTAAAACATATGAAGAATGGTTGCAGGAACTGGGTATGCCTAGTTTAATGAAAAGAAGGACTAGGGGAGATATGATAGCAGTCTTCCAGTATCTCAGGGGCTTCCACAAAGAAGAGGGAGTCAAGCTATTCTCCAAAGCACCTGAGGGCAGGACAAGAAGCAATGGAGGGAAACTAATCAAGGAAAGAAGCAACCTAGAACTAAGGAAGAATTTCCTGACAGTTAGAACAAAGAATCAGTGAAACAACTTGGCTCCAGAAGTTGTGAATTCTCCAACACTGGATGTTTTTAAGAAGAGATTGGGATTGGCTTTTGTCTGAAATGGTATCGGGTTTCCGGCTTGAGCGTGGGGTTGGATTAGAAGTCATTTGGTTACATTCTGTTTATTCTACTAGGCCTCTCCATCTTTGCTTGCTGCAAGAGTTTTCGATGTTTGACGGAAGCCTCTTGGCCCGTGGGATGAGAAATGTGGGGTGAGCACCTAGAGATTAGACATGGAACTCCTATAGAATAGAATAGAATAGAATAGAATAGAGTAGAGTAGAGTAGAGTAGAGTAGAGTAGAATAGAATAGAATAGAATAGAATAGAATAGAATAGAATAGAATAGAATAGAATAGAATAGAATAGAATAGAATAGAATAGAACAGAATAGAACAGAATAGAATAGAATAGAATAACAGAGTTGGAAGGGACCTTGGAGGTCTTCTAGTCCAACTCCCTGCTTAAGGCAGGAAACCCTATACCATTTCAGACAAATGGTTATCCAATCTCTTCTTAAAAACTTCCAGTGTTGGAGCATTCACAACTTCTGGAGGCAAGTTGTTCCACTGATTTATTGTTCTCACTGTCAGAAAATTCCTCCTTAGTTCTAGGTTGCTTCTCTCCTTGATTAGTTTCCATTCATTACTTCTTGTCCTGCCCACAGGTGCTTTGGAGAATAGCTTGACTCCCTCTTCTTTGGGGCAGCCCCTGAGATACTGAAAGACTGCTACCATGTCACCCCTACTCCTTCTTTTCATCAGACTAGACATACCCAGTTCCTGCAATCATTCTTTATATGTTTTAGCCTCCAGTCCTCTCATCATTTTTGTTGCTCTTCTATGCAATCTTTCTAAAGTCTCAAGATCTTTTTCACACCCTTAGACCTGGAGGAATCCAAAGATTGATTCACCTTCTTTGTGTCATAAGCTGGCCTCTTAAGTTTTGTCCTAGCCTGAACCCATTTTCATCAATTTGGGATTTTTCTCTCTCTTTGCAGAGTTATGTCATGCCCAGACCACTGCAGGGATCCATGAGGATTTATAGAAGATGTCCTGGATCTTGGGGCCTTTGGTGCTCTTGTTGGTATGGTTAATGAAGATCGCTGCCAGCCCCCATTCGCTGAGGATTGGTAAGTAAGGAGCATATGCCACCCTGCTGTGTGAATCCTATGTTTCATCCTGGCTATTTTAGTCCCCTGAAAAAGCAATGGTGCGGATCAAAATTGCAATAATTGGAACAGGTTTGGATCAGAATGACTATAATTGGAACCACACCGGGCCAGTGTGGTTGATGAGCTGCCGGTCCAGCCAGCCTTCCAAAAATGCAGTGTGGTACTTCTCATTATGAAAAACCATCCTTCTGGGCTTGCCTTGCCTGGCCCAGGGGGTTAGGATGCAGTACATAAAAATCTATTTTTCTCGAATGAAATTAATGAGAATTTAAGAGAAGACAAAAAAGTATATTTTTTCATTGACAGGATTGTCCCAGGAATGTGGAATTTGGTTTGGTTACATGTCTGTTGATTATCAGCAATAGTGGATGAGTAGTGTCACAATTAATTAGAGGTTGGTTTCAAATCTGCATTAATTTTAAAAGCAAACAAGGAAGTAAACGAACAATCCCATTTGTTTATTCTTTAGGTTACAGGCATCAATTAATGGGAATTTGTTCATGCATCGGTTCACCGTTGTTTTTTAACAACTTTGTAAACAAGTGTTGCTTTGCCTTAAAGATATACATCAGACCACGCTGGTATTCATGGGAAAGCTGTTTGAAAAAAGACAGTAGAGACAGTTTCAGTTAGCTAGTCGAGCCCAATTCTATTTTATTCTATTTTTCTTGTAACCTCGCCTAGTAAATGCAAGCTCTTTATCCTTTCTGGAATTCAGCAGGCCAAAGTAGCAGGATGCACCTGAACGTTGGGCACTTTTTCTGCAAGTTTGCAAGTAGCAAAAGGTTTTCCGAGTGTTTGACTAAAATAAAAGGGAAGGTAGAATGAATAAACTGCATTGAGAAGAGAAATTTTCATGAGGAGAATGTGGCATTCTTTATTCTGTGAAGAGATAATCCAGAAGTATCTGCAAAGGTCTTGTTTTTATTGTATAATCTTTTCTCCAGGCCTTTGTAGCTTTTGTGGTTTCTGCTGTCATTTATGTAAAGAAATCATATCTCATATTTTAGTAGTTCTTTATTTCTATTCCCACTAAAGGAGAATTCAGTCCTGGAGACACTGAGATAAATTATCTCCCCCCCCCCCGCCCCAAGATCTCTGTGCCCCTATCCTCCAACTTTGGAAGCAGAATTTGAAAAAGATGACATGCCTAACATTAAAGACTTCATTGGTGTGGTGGAATGTAGTCTGGAATCCCAAGAGGGAGGGGCTGCATTCCAGAGGACCAAGAGACAGCAAAGTTTAGATAATATGGTTGGAAGATAGAGAGTTGAGATGGCTCCTCCCTAGACGTTCTTGGAGTGTGTCCTTAATTATACAAGTAATTTCTTTAGTTTGGCAAGATTCTGTCTGCAGGTGAGAAATAATAAAGGAGATTGCTTTGAATTTCTTGGTTTGGGGGGAACCTGACAATTGAGTTCCAATTAGTAAAAAAGAAAATTGTTTAAAACTACACAAACAAACAACCCAACCTGAAAGCAAAAAATGTAACAAGAACTGACCATCTTACACGGTATTGATTTAGGAGAACTGAATATTCAAATATTCTTCAAACATTCCTACAAGGATGCCTTTGTAATCAGGAAAAGGCAGATATTCACCCAGTCCTTCTGTGTCTCCATAGAATGTACTCTTACATGAAGTCATGGTGGGGGACTATCTAAAGATCTCCTCTTCATAATTTTCTGCATCCCTACTAAGATCCTTTTTAGGAAGGCCATGGTGTTAGTTCAAAGAGAGAAATCTCGATGTGCTGCTGAGAGAAGCAATTATAACCTTGCAAAATATTCTTGCTTGCGGCAGGCACATCTTTCCTTTCTAAACTATAAATCAAAAGTGAGTGCATGCTTTCTGCTAAATCCACATCAGGATTATGTTTCCATGGAGTGGCTACGGTTAGTCACAAAGTCACCCTGAAGTTTAGATTGGATTTGGCACTTTGATCTAGCTATCCAGTCCTTCCCAAGCAATCTGGCGTGTGCAGATGGTGATATTGGATGGATGGTGTTAAAGGTCTCATCACAGGATGGAAGCTGTTCCCAGTGAAGCTGCCTTTTGCAATTGACTGGTGGTGATTTTGTCAATGCCAATGATATTTAAGTGGTGCTGCATCCAGTTGTGGTTGCCACGATGTAAAAATATTGTTGAGATTCAAGAAAGAGGGCAGATAAGAGCAACCAAGATGATTAGGGGACTGGAGGCTAAAACATATCAAGAACAGTTGCTGGAATTGGGTATGTCTAGTTTAATGAAAAGGACTAGAGGTGACATGGTAGCAGTCTGTCAATATCTAAGGGGTTGACCCAGAAAAGAGGGAGTCAAGCTATTCTCCAAAGCACCTGAAGGCCAGACAATAAACAACGGATAGAAACTAGTCAAGGAGAGAAGCAACTTAGAACTAAGGAGAAATTTCCTGACAATTAGATCAATTAATCAGTGGAACAACTTGCTTCCGGAAGTTGTAAATGCTCCAACACTGGAAGTTTTTAAGAAGAGATTGGACAACCATTTGTCTGAAATGGTGTAGGGTTTCCTGCCTAAGCAGAAAGTTGGACTTGAAGACCAACTCTGTTATTCCAGTTGTTTTGGGATTGCACTGTTATTATTGTTCATTGTACAGTCAGCCAGATTAGTGTGATGGCCCAGAGTGTAACACAAATGTAACAAAATCCAAAACGTAAATAAATGTCCTTTAATGCCTCCAACTTGGCTCCACTGTTCAATAATTCTCAGTTGGAGATATTTATTTATTTATTTTATTTATTTGATTTGTCAATTGTTTACAAGATAATAAGTATAAGTGTATACATAGTTATGAATACATGAAATGGGTACATATAAGAAAAATAAAATAAAAATAAAAAGAAACAATAGGACAGGGACGGTAGGCACGTTGGTGCGCTTATGCACGCCCCCTAGAGACCTCTTAGGAAAGGGGTGAGGTCAATAGTAGACAGTCTAAGGTTAAAGTTTTTGGGGTTTGGGGAAGAAACTACAGAGTCGGGTAGAGTATTCCAGACATTGACCACTCTGTTGCTGAAGAGTGGTCAATAAAACGTACTCATAGTCTTCAAAAGAAAGCAATACAGTCTAAATTTAATGAGCAGATAGAGGTGAAATAAAAACCCAAACAAACTACAATGGTGAAATTTCCACAACAGGAGAAATATTTACCAAATTCAAGGAGATAACAAGGCAGTCTGTTGGAAGGACGCCAACCAAGATAACTTCAGACCAAAATAAAACTCGCTTTGTTTCTAGCGTTTGCCAGTATGCAGGTCCAAACTCAGTTCTGACACCTGCAGCCCATGAAGAGGATCAAGGCTCTCTCCTCCCGAGGAGACCACGTCTCTCCCTTATGCTCTCCTCCCTGCATGCCCTAGAAGATGGATAGGGGATGGGCCTGGGTCCTCCTCTGACTGCCCAGCCGGCCTCTGCCCTTCCCCAGCCTCCTCCACAACCTCTGGAGTCCCACTTCCACTCCCTGTCGGCTGTTCCTCCTCTCCCTCAGAGTCAGTCTCCATCAGGGGCATGACAATTATTTATTTATTTATTTGTTTGATTTGATTTGTCAATAGCTTACAAGATAATAGGTATAAGTATATACATAGTTATGAATACATGAAATTGATATGAATAAAAAAGAAACAATAGGACAGGGACGGTAGGCACGTTGGTGCGCTTATGCACGCCCACTACAGACCTCTTAGGAAAGGGGTGAGGTCAATAGTAGACAGTTTAAGGTTAAAGTTTTTGGGGTTTGGGGAAGAAACCACAGAGTCAGGTAGAGTATTCCAGACATTGACCACTCTGTTGCTGAAGTCGTATTTCCTGCAATCAAGTTTGGTGCGGTTTACCTTGAGTTTGTATCTTTTGTGTGCTCTTGTGTTGTTATGGTTGAAGCTGAAGTATTCATTGACAGGTAAGTCATTGCAATGTATGATTTTATATACCATACTTAGATCAGACCGAAGACGGCATAATTCAAGGTTTTCTAGGACTAGAATTTCAAGTCTGGTGGCATAAGGTATTCTACAACGAGTAGAGGAGTGGAGAACTCTTCTTGTGAAATATTTCTGGACTTTCTCAACTGTGTTAATATCAGATATGTAATGTGGGTTCCAGACTGATGAGCTGTATTCGAGTATTGGTCTAGCAAATGTTTTATATGCTCTAGTTAGTAGTGTGATATTACCAGAGAAAAAGCTATTAACAAACTTACGACCCCAATTGAGACTTCTTTAGCATGGTGAAGGCTAAAGTTTAAAAGCTTGGTTTGAAAGTGCAAGACATCACATTTCCCCACCTCTCCCATTTCATGGCGTGGGAGTTTAACTTCTGTTGAGAGACGCCATTGTTGAGCTGTGGTTAAGGCACCGGTGCTGTTAAATTTGACAAGCTGGGTTGTTTTCTGGCTGTAACTGAGGTTTTCTTCCTTCCATGTTTTCAATGCTCCAGAATAAAGGGAAGTATTAGTCATCCAAATTTTCCCCATCACTTCCTAACTGCTGTAACTTTGGAGAGAATGCAGCTTTCGTCGAACAATTAAAGATGCAAAACCCCTCCTTAAAAGAACAGAGGCAAAACTTAATTGGATTAAAACAACGAAATAAATGTTTGAAAAGTATTCATGCTGATCAGCTAGGATGAAAAAAATAATAATGTATAGACAGCTCAGGGATAATTGCTGCCTTTTCTATTTTCAAAGGGAAAGTCAAACCGCATCGCATCATTCTCTAGTCATGACTCTGAGAAAGCTGAATAATGCACTTAATTAGTCCATCAGCAATGGTTTCTGCCACTCCCGCTGAAAAAATGGAACTGTCTTATGCTTAATCTGGGTTCATTGTTGCTATTTGGTTCATAATTTAAGATGAACTGTTCTTCATGCTTCTCAAAATCCTTCCTTCCTTCCTTCCTTCCTTCCTTCCTTCCTTCCTTCCTTCCTTCCTTCCTTC